CTTTAAAAATTGGTGGGCGAGGTATTTCAAGAAGTCTTCATAAAGAGCCCTGGTTTTCCTGCATCAACACTTGCGATCACTATTACACCTCATTTATTATGTCAGAAAAAAGGGGCTTTATTACTGTTTCAGAATTTATTGATGCACTTGCAAGAACTACTTTCCGTTTAGTCAATAAATGGTAATGAAGAAGTACTTCTTTCGATAACCATGACTTACAATGGGTACGTCCCTAACAATGTTAGGGAACTCGCGGACCTTCGCAAGATTGTTCATTATATTCCTGATGAACATAAAAGTTTTTTTTTTTTTTTCACGGAAATATAACCATGGTTGCTAATTTCTGAAATTGGCATAATTGGATAAAGCAACTAAAAATAGGATTTTCTGAAAATAAACACTTATCTAAATTAATTACTTATAGCCCAGGGTCGATCCAGTCAAACCTTGAACAAATTAGAGACAAGCTGAGATTCGGTATATAGGTTTGTATTGGGGTCCTTTAAATACCACCAAACCCCACCGGTAATCGGCCGTGCCTGCCCCCCTCAAACAACCCCTTAAATGGGTGAAAATTGGACTTTTTTTAGTTTTTTGGCAATATCTTAAAAACAAATCTTTACGAAAAAAAATGAGGGAAGAAAAATTAAAGAGCATGAAATTTTCTATAAAATCACGTTCAGCAGTTATATCTTGCTTTTCCAGTGGCGGAGTTATGATATTTTTAATAACTGGGTATTTTGTAAAAATAGTCTCAGGCAATTACTTATTGGATTCTTATATTGAATACAGGGTGTTCCAAAACTATTGTGCCAAAAATGAAGGTATGATAGATCTCGCCAAAATAAACTTTTTTACCTATAAACCCATAGGCGCGTGCGCTTTGGTTAGGTGATAATGGCACATCGCAGTCCGCGCTGTGGTAGCCACCTTGCACACGGAGAAACATGTTTGAAGCAGAAACTGTGTTATTAAATAATACGAAATCCAAGGAAGGCTTGAAGTATTTATTCGGATCAAAAGATGCCCAAAATTATGATCATCTGCCTCAATGCATGCGTGACAGCGCCGTAGCAGAAATATCCAGTAGATTTCTGCAGGAAACCCTTTCCGAACTGTTAGAAACTGTTTCCCTGTATGCCAGACAAAACATGTGGTACCAACACGACGGAGCCACATTACTACCACATTACTCGTTAGACGTAAGGGAACATCTCAATGAAATATAATCTGGAGTGATTAGTAAATGCGCACTTATTTCATGGCATCTACGTTCACCAGACCTGACCGAATGCAATTTTTTTTATGGGGTCACATGAGAGCTCTTGTGTACGACACTCTAGTTGAAACAGAGGAACAGTTAGTAGAAAGGATTGTTGCAGCAGCTGCTGAAATTCGCGAAACGCTAGGATTTTTTCAACGTGTTCAGGAGGCTATGCTACGGCGCTGTCATGCATGTATTGAGGAGGGTGGTTATAATTTTGAGCATCTTTTGATGTTAATCATTGTTTCTAATAAATACTGCAAGCATTCCTTGGGTTTTGTATTATTTATTAGCACAGTCTCTGCTGACTCTGCTTCATACACGTTTCTCCGTGTGCAAGGTGAGGCGGCTAACACAGCGCGGACTGTAATGTGCTATTATCAACTAACCAAAGCGCATGCGCCTATGGGCTTATGAGTAAAAAATATTTATTTTGGCGAGATCTATCATCCCTTAATTTTTGGAACAATAGTTTCGGAACACCTATATCTGATAATCCATAGAGATATTTTGGTAAATACATTTAAAACATTTTTAAGTTAATTAGAAATAAAACGCATACCAGTGGAGTACAAGTAGGTACTATATTTCTAATTTCATATATTAATTTGTATAACTTAGGGTCGGTTTATTCTCTTTCTGATAAACTGTCAGGCATGCAATCTAACGAATCAAAACTCAATCTGTATGTCCATTGGTTGGCCAGTTGTCTTCGGACCAATGGAATTCTATAACGGTAAATTTATTTCGCACATAGTTACCAGAAAGTTTATCTGAAGATGGATAAACTGGGCCTTAATATGTAGAATTAATATTACACGTGAGTATTGAATGCATCAAAATATTCAAATATCCGTGGAATTTCCGCTTTAAATTAGTTCTTATCTGGAGGGCTATATCTTGATCTGTCTGGACTGGAGATTCCGGAATCACTAGAAACCTATCCCCATTGTTGGAGTTGTAAGCTATTATTCAACCATGCTTGCACCTAAAATTATTGTAATAGTCTAAGAGTCAGTGAATTCTTTTCCATAAAAAGTTGCCGATGGACAATTTCTTGCTTAAACGATGTAGTATTATTATGATCTATGTCAAAAAGTCTGGCAGCATGTAGTGGGGAGGTTTGGCGTAGGCATAATAATTAATTAGTCATTAAAAAATTCACGAAATTCGAAATACTTGCTGATGGTCAATTTTTCCGGCCTATCATTCAAAAATGTGCCATTAACAAAGCTGTAATAATGCCAGATGGTTTTCACGGATTTAAAGCCTTGCCAGATGTCCCCAAAGTGCAAAAACAAGATCAAAATACTTGCCGGAACCTTGTTTTTTTTTTTAAATTAAAGAAAAAAAAATTGCGAATCGAACGCACCTAGTGCCAGACAGTTTTAGCGAGATCTAATCCTTGCCAGACGCTGTTTTCCTCTGTTAAACAGGCCAGATGTGGTATCCCATCCAGAAAGGTCGTGCATGGCATGAACATTTTTTTTGTTGGATATATTCAAGATAAAAATCCAATAAGTCATGACTAGAGAGTATTTTTACAAAATATTCAGTTATTAAAAATACTCTGCCACTGGCGGAGCAAAATATAACTGCTAAACGTGATTTTATAGGAAATTTTATGCTCTCTAATTTTTCTTCCTGCATATTTTTTCGTTAATAGCTTTGCTTTTGAGATATTGCCAAAAAACTAAAAAAAGTCCGATTTGTACCCCTTTTAGAGGTGACAGGCACGGCGGATTACCGGTGGGGTTTGGTGATTTATTGAGGTCCCCAAACCAAATTTCAGCTTGTCCTTGGGCTATTAGGAATTCAAGAATTTATTATTATTATTATTTTTTTTGAATTATTATCATACACAATTTAAATTACATATTTATTCTTTGTAATCAGGTTTAATTTTTTTCCTCACGACGCACTACGTTGAGTCACAACTGGCAACAGCACAATCGAAACTTTTACCAGCGGCAACCGGAACAGTTGTTCGTGCTATGTCAATGGAGTCTTCTTGAATTTGATTGGTAGAAGATGCCTATATGTCATCGTTTGTCGCGTTTCAAGAATTTTGCATTTTTCCACATTTGATGTGTAGAACACTCATTTAAGCTCGTAGATAATTTTTTTTTTTTGGCAAATACTTAAAATAGTTCCTCATTTAAGATTCTATGCTTAAATTACGTTTTCAAATTTCAGTGAAAAAACCCATTACTCAAGGCCATTGAAGTGATGAAGAGAGTGAGGTTTAAAATATTTGTATTTTTTTCTTTGTTCTGATGTTATTTTTCAAATAAAAGTAATCCAAAATGTTTTATTCGCTTGCGTATATCCTAGTTTCTTATTGTCAGGATAGCAACTAATTTCAGAATTTAAACCAAATCCAGGAAAAAATGTATTCATCACTTTATACACACGTTAGGAAAACACTCACCGATTTAATTTGATTGCTCAAACATTCCCTGCAGTGAATAGGTATATAATTTTAAAAACATTTATAATTTACTTACGGGTACGCCTATGGAATAATTAGCCTATGAAATACTCTTCCGACTTTCCGAACATAGTAAATCCTTATTTCAGAGGCGTGCATTAGTATTTCAAAGTCCGTTCCGTAAGGTGAAGTTAATGTGTATGCGTATGCGACGTTGCCACATGTTTTGTATTCACGAATATCAGACAAGAACAGAAGAGGTATATCATATAAATTTGATGACATTGAGATTCTAAGCTGAAAACGAGACATGGAAAGAAAGAAAAACGCTTATATTTCGCAACCAAAATAATCATCTCTCTATATGTACAGTCGTATCAAGCATTTAGTGAGACGGAGAAAAATGTTTGAAGAGCACTCATTTGAACATAATTTTTATAGAGTTTGTGAATAGATATTTGTAAGTAATTTAAATGCTTTTAAACCAATTTAAATTAATGAAACATTAATACGCACTATCTACATAACCTACAAATCCTATAAAATTCCCTTGTAACATTTTTACGGTATACCATTATACTCGAGCATTTTACGAAACTATTCAAAACATAAATAATTATGTTTAATTCGAGATTTAGAGAAATGTGACTGATTAAAGAACCAGCACTGTTACCAGAATCACTTCGTTTTGGTAACTGAAATAGTACCTACCTCTATTAAATGTGTCTTGGAGAAGGAAGAAAAGCTTGAATTTTAATGTCTTCAAATTTTTTAAACTTCCTCGAATCATATGAAATTCATAGGTATTGTGATCCACATAATTTAAACCTTCTGTCTTTTTATAGATAAAGTATTTAGTACCATTAAAGTCAAATGAATGAATTTACAAGCCATAACCATATCATCAAACAATATACAATAAGTAATTATGTCTACGTTAAAGCATCATGTCCTTTGAATATAAATATTGTATTTTTGTTTTGTAATTTATTTGTATTTCTACTTAAATGTGAGTCCGAAATACGCTGTGTGAATTTTAAATATCGTCGCGGTTATTCATTTTAGTTTATATGGGTTTTGGGTTGAAAACCGCCTTGGGTTCTTGGAAAAAAATGCAACCCGATACTTTTTTGGTCAGTGGGAATAGATTTTTTTGACGATAATGAATCATTAATTTAAGGTATAACTATATAGGTAGGAAAGGTGTTGGAAATTTGGTGGATAAAAGAAAGCTTCAGAAAGTTTTAAATATCTTTTTATTATATCACACAAAGAGCATATACATACATCAATTTTTTTTATATGTACACCATTTAATTTTCGAATTATCTAATCTTAATCATTATAATTTTAGGTGTAAATCGATTATAAATCGACTATTTTATATAAATAAATTAAGAAACAAACAGTACGTCTTTTTCTGTATTAAAATTGTAGTTCAACATTTTGAAAGTGTTTTTTGCTAATATATCGGAAAATCAGTCTACTAAATTATTTTAAATTCCAGAAAATCAAAGAACCAAAAATATTGAACTAATTTTTATAGGTACCATTTAGAGAAAGGAAAAATAAAGACTAGCAGTTTAGACCTAAAAAAATAGATTTTTTTGTCAAGTTATTATATTGCTAATTTTTTCAAATTCTATTTTATAATAATATAATGTATCCTATCTTGGACAAAAAAAATCTATTTTTCCATTAATTGCTTGTTCGTTCCCTTACAGCAGTCTTTTATAAAATAAATAACTATTAAATCTGACAATAACTCAAGATTGCACATATGTTTTTATGTTTAAATATTATTATTTATTTACACAAGTAAAAATTTCCCTAAAAGAAACATTATTTTGTACTTAATTATATTTAAACCTGGTCAAAAATTCACTTTGAAAAAGGGGTTTCGATTATTTTATTTTATGTACATCGAATTATACAAAATTTACATGCACAAGAAAGGTCATGACCAAATTTGTGTTGATCACCTTGAATTATACCGAAACGCGCCGAAATAAGATTTTTGCCGTTAAGGTTTGTTCAAAAGCTTAATCTATATATATACAAAAATGTCTTTTGAGAAGTCTGCATTGCCTTATCACGTGTACTCCGATCTCCAGCCACCCTGAAATAGAACAATTTCGTTATTACACATTTCAAGAAAATGTCAAAAGACTTCTACAACTCACCATTCCATTCGACGTTAGTCCTAAACCAGCCGCACTCAAGGAACTCATATGGTGATGGTAGGAAGCCGTCGGCGGTGGTGCTGGAGGTGGTGGGCCGCTCACGAACCCGTGAGGATGCGTACTATTTTGGTACCAATGGCTCATTGCGTGGTGAGGATGAAGGGCTGCGTTTAAGTGAGGATGACCGCCGCCCATTGAGTTGAATTGACCAAAACCACCTGGAAAGAATAGAGAATTTGAATATTACTTGAAATTAATTAATAGCTGTTGAACTAAATATATATATTTGAGAATTATTGAAACAGTAAGTTGATGTGAGCAAATTTATTTCGCTTAAACCAAACCAAAACCAGTATCAGATTATTTTTATTATCCTGCATTTGATATTATTTGACTGGGTTCACTTTCGAGTCAGTAACTTGTCCTGATATAGCAGATTTGCTCGATTTTGTTCCATTTATAAAAAAAAAACGCATTTCCCTAAAGTGAACTCAAAATTTAATTTAGTTGATGTGTATTCTTTGATCGCATTCAGGAAACAAGAAATCTTGGTCTTTGAAATAAATTCTAATTTGGAGCTCGTAGAAATTTACCTTTTGAGTCCAAAGGTTTCATCATATCTCCCATCATTCCTCCTAACGATAGACAAGCTGCCCCAGATTTTTTCTTTTTACTTTTCGAAGACAGCTTGCGATTTCGAGTTTGGATACCTTCTTTTTTCATCGTAAGCGGTCGGTTCACCTGCAACAAAGAAAAATCAATTTAAAAAAATTAGTTAACTTGAGGCGAAGCATGGCGCAACCTGTGTCGTATTTGTTTGACATGATTAAATCGATACAAAATAAGGGATATAGGTACATATAATATTGAAAATATTTCAGTATATTTGCAGCCTTTGTAGTGATCCCAGATCAGTCTGTTCATTTGATAAAAATGTCAATTGTTTCATTGAACTTGTTCGAATTGAAATCTCGTTGAGTGAACCCAATTGAACTGAACTGAACTTTACATATTTTCAAACATTTACGACTCAGCTATTCAGGATATAATATGACGTTTTTGATGCAAGCCTCTGGCCAATGGATGCAAGCAAAACATTTACTTCGTACAAAATAGCAGGAATAGACTATTTGAGAATCATTTTTTTCGCTGAAACTCTTATTCGGTATATTTTGGAGCTTTAGATAATCTATTTTTTTTAATACTACATCGTTTACGAAAAACATTTTTATTGGGTTTCTCGGAGTTTTAGTTTTATCATGGATGTAATTTTGACAAGAAACTCAAATACTTATACTGAAGTAGGTAAATAGGTACTTAATAACTTCGAAACCACAATGTTTGTTATTAAATACACATTTACAAAATATGTAGATACCTATATTTATAAAAATTAGGATGTCATTTTTAAATGGTGTGTTAGGAAATATGGTCCGATTTTGTTCGCTTACACTATATCACTTAACATCCAAATTGTATACCTAATCCTCTGGGATTGTTTTTCGTTGTAGAAGAAGTTAAGTCCAATTCAATTCTGAAGATAAAAAAGCAGTTGCGGTTGACGCGGCGGAATCCCGCCCGAGATAGTGTCTCCTACTTTTCTTGAGTCAGGGCATCAGTGCGCGCATGCGCCTTCAATGGGCTAGCAAGTGTTACGTTAAACTAACCATAGTAAATTTGAAATTCCGTAGAACCAAATTCAAATGCCATTGGAAATAGTAGAATAGTGCTGTTGGAAGCACGATTAGTATAGTAAAAATTCTGTATGTTTTATCCTTTGAACCCTAGGGTTAAAATTTTGTGATAAAAAAAACAATCTTGGTGCCGAATAAGTACTATTATTACCATATTACCAATAATTCTCAATCCTGGTAAAATAAAGTATTCTTTTAAATGTGGCATCATTCCCGGAATTTCACATTATTGTATTATGGAAATGCGTACTGTTGAAGTGTTTAGAGCGGATCTTAGGACTTTGAAGAATGGAAAGTCTGACACATTTAATGGCGATATTTCTTTATTGTCATGATCCGCAAGTTGATTCGCAGATGAAAGTATTTCAACTTTTATTCGGCCATCTTATACCCGCTCACGCACAAAGAAGTGTCTGATGTGAATGTGTTCGGTTCCTCGATGGAACTTAGGATTCTGAGTCAATTTAATTGCAGCTTCGTTGACAAATTGCAGCACTGGAATTGACTTTAAGTCCAGAATTTAATCAAAAAAGCGTTTTATCCACCCAATTTCCTTAGCAGCTACGCTAGCCGCCACTATTTCAGCTTCAGTCGTTTAATATGGCAACTGATATCTGTCTTTGGCTTAGCCACGTGATTGCCCCATCAGCAAACATACTTAGAACTCCTGAAGTTGAGCGTCCTGTGGTTTCATCGCCACCATGGTCTGCGTCACTGAAGGCTTTAATTTCTTTTGGTAGTCCGGGTTTATATATCAAACCAATCTCAAATGGTACCTTTTAGGTAAAATAGAATTCTTTTAACTCTTTCAACGTCTCTGTATGAGGAATTCTCGAGTTTTCGGGAAACAATACTAACTGCATACAGCATAGGCAATGTCTGGTCGAGTGTCATCAAAAACATTAAGGCCCCAACAGCCTCTCTATATGGAAATGTAGTTGTAGTGTTCAATTCTTCCTCCCTAATTGTACACCTTCTTTCACCATCATAAGCGTCAATACAGGTTTACGGTTTTGCATTCCAAAGCGGTCAATACTTTTTCTTGTTTAAACTCTTTGGATTACTTCTACTACTATTTTCAGTTCTTCTTATTTCTAAACCCAAAAAATAAGAAGCTTGTTTAGTAATGGTAATTTTAAATTCTCTTCGTAAACTTTCTAAGAAGGAATCCTTCAATTTGTCGTTGGTTGACGACAGAAGTCCATCATATAAATATAATACTAGTACAAGTATGTCTTCTTCAACTTTCTTCATAAAAAAACAAGCACTATCTTCTAAAACCAAGAACTTTTATGTAATCGGTAAATCTTTCATTCCAAGGTGCTTGATCTAGTCCATAAAGACTGCGCTGAAGTTTACAGTCATGTTACTTTCCATCTTCATACCCCTCTGGTTGTTTCATTGGTAGAGCAAGTGCAAAACTGGTGCAATATTCGTGATCCATTGGCAGGGTCCGCACTGCACTTTTGTATTTCATTGGGAAAGCAATGCACTGAGTTTTGCACTGAGTGCTGTTGGTGCGCAACCGGCTAAAAAGTTCGTGTCACACTCAGTGCAGTTGTTTATTAATATTTTTGAAATTGAGGTTATTGGTGATTGATGGTTTACAGTACCAATTTTTTTTTTCTATATTTGTCTGCGAATCTACTACCAAAAATGTCAAAAATCGCTTGTTGATGGCAATTGCCTTGATGGAAAGTAGCAGCAGCAGTGAAACCAGTGAATATGAAGAATATTTAGGGCTTCTAGCAGAGAGGGGAGAACTTTTTTTTTAAATAAAATTATAATAATTATTTATAATAAGCACAAATATCATTTTCTAAATGAAAATCCATCATAATTCCATATTTGAGGTTTGACGTATGGGATGGTGCAATACGATGATGTTTCATTGGGACTGCACACGTGCAGTTTTTTTAAAGTGTCAATGCAAAAGGAGTGTTGCACTTGCTCTACCAATGAAATAAGGTAATAGAGAAATGCAGTACCTACATACATCGAACTGAGTGAGTAACATAGTCTTCCTAGCAGCAATAATGAGGAGTGAATTGTTCTTCCCTAGGCTGCAGGACTGTAAGTCTGGTGGTAACCTTCACCCCTTCACTAGTCGAGCTTTGTACTTGTGTCTGGACCCATCTGGGGTGGTTTTCACTTTATATACCCACTTACATGGTACCTACTGCCTTCTTTCCTGATGGTAACCTCTTAACCTCCCAAGTACAATTTTCTTGTAGTGACTGTATTTCTTTATCCATTCCAAAATCCAATTGTCTTTATCATTGCAAGTAATAGCATCTTTGTAGCTTAGTGGCTCTTGTAGTCGTTTATTTCTGCAGCAACTGTCACAACATAACATAGTCCTCAAAACGAACAGGTTTGTTTAGCTCTCTTCTCTCTCTCAGTTGTTTTCTTATTTCAGGTTGATCTTCTAGGTCTTCTTGTACTGTTCTATGCTCATTTTCTGTCGGATCTGTCACTTGTATCTGTTCGGTCTGGTATCTCCAAATTTATGCCTAGTACTCATACCTGCGAAATTCGCAGTTTTTTGACATTGTTTCGACAAATTGACGTTTTATGCGTGAATCAAACGTCAAATTGTCGAAGCAATGTCAAAAAAGTGCGAATTTCGCAGTTATGAGTACTAGGCTCAAGTCTGGTATTTCCAAATTTTCCGGAGAACTGTTCTTCTTGTTCTATTTGATCTTTAGGTTCATTATTTGATAAATTCTGTTATTCTTTTTTACTTTATAACAAGTTTCATTGGTTTATAAGTAATGAAACAAATTTTACACGGTTGACGGCAAAGGGGTTTCATTAGGATCAAATTACCCTCTTTTACACCTGTAGGACTGAAACTTGTAATCTCGCGACATTTTTTACCTCAAGATTGATCTCAGTGACCTCTTTTTGTTTGAAAACGACACCAAACTCGGCACAATTAAAATAATTTATTTTTATTTTTTATTCATTTCTTTAAAGGCCGCCATTTTGAACCCACATGTTCGGGAGTCGTTGTGCTTCGGGTCCAATCAATTCTTTGAAGCTTTGCACTAGACCTGCAGAGCGACATGCTTTCTGCAAGAAAAGTTACTTTTTTCGCGTAACGCTTGTCCTATAGGACGATTTTCAAATAGAAATTTAAAAGCTGTCTTGAATGGTGCAGGTTTTAGGTTTAATAATAACTAACGACTGATATATACTCTGTTTCCTTTTCCTTAGTAGCACAGGGGCCGAAGACCATAAAACGATCATACAAAACATAGGCGGCCATAATACCCAGGTAACTATATGTTGGGCTATTACCCGATGGCAATTCAGTATAGGAATTTTGTACTTGTAATAGTGTGTGTTTCCATTGTGAATTTATTGTAAAAATGTCATAAGGCTTTGATCCGGTTAAATGTAAGGTGAAGGCGTTCTTGATTCCAAAGCCAGAACTATAGTACTGAATGTACCTACATGATCAGATGCCTTTGAGTACTATCCGATATAGGTATAGTCTCTACATGTGTCAATATGACAGGGATCAGTGAATCATCAATCTCCTTAGCGAAAGAAGAAGTGATAACTGTGATGAACTAACAAAAAGTATAATGAAAGGACATTCGTTTTATAATAGGAAAATTTCAACTAATAGATAAATTACTAGCAGTGAATATACCAAACATGTGACGCAAAAATTGTAGAAAATATTACACGAGTTAAAATTTTGTTGGGAGAAGCAGAGCAGAAAATCGTTTTTCATTGACAAAGAAGAAATAGTCTGTTGGAGTAGACAATATCTAAGAGATATTAGAAAGTACAGAAGAGAACAAAGAAACCTTTATTACTTGGACGAAACATGGGTTGATATAGGACAGGACACACAGTAAATAAATTCTGGCAAGATAGAAATATCCACAATTGCCAAGCATTTGTGGATGGCGTTTCGTCTGGCTTAAAAATGCCTTCCGGTAAGGGCCGCAGGTTAATAATAACTCACAAGGCAGTCATAGAGGCTTTTTAAATAGGGGTTTGCTCGAATTCGAATCAAAATCAACCAACTGT